ACAAAAATGCCCTTGAGAGATAAAATAGTCTGAGTTAACCCTGAATGAGAAAATACTCTTAGGATTTGTACTTAACTCGATTAAGTACGAATTTAATTGTTAAGATCCTATCTTTATACAAAAAAATTATGATATTCCGTTTGTAAAATATGAGAATGCACTTGACCTAAAAATATCCGAGTTATGAGTAAATACCTGAAAAACTATTTATCGGAGGGTGCTCTTTTATCAGAATTGTTTGAAGGGACTGAAATAGATGATAAATTGGAATTAAATAATAAGACCGGATGGAAGGAAAAGATTTAAATACCGTAGATCTGTAAAATGACCCAAAATAACCCTATAATGGAAATGACCCAAGAATACCACCAAGCTCAGGAATGATTGGATATCTTCGAGCTCTGAAATAAATGGAATAAAAATGAACACCAAAATACCCTTGTGTCATATTCTAAGTAAATGCCTTGGATTAATTAAGGAATCCAAATAAGCATAGGTGTTGGACTACTTTTAAAAAGTAATGGAAAATAATTTAAGTGAGTATATCAACCCTAAAGCTATGTCAATACCTGAATGACATAGATATTACTTGAATGCGTATTCGTCTTCTCAAGTTTGGCTCGATGATAAATTTTGGAAGTATTCAGCTCAGCTCATCTCTAGATCGCATTCAGTACTAAGAATTGGACGTTTATTCGACAAATCAACCACGAAGACCAAATTGAATGGAACGGAAGTACAACATGTATCTGAAATTCAGGAACGTTTGAATTACTCTGGAAAATCCCGAAGTAGTTGAAATGGACTTGAATGCTAAATGAACTAAGTAACCTCAAGGACTAAGGATTAAGTAAGTGATTTGGATGAGTCTGGAAACGTTAATGAACATACATGATGTAATGTTTTTATAGGTCATGAACTACAAATTAAGCATCACAGTTCATGATATAGTGAAAGCGTGAACATGAAATTAAGAACATTGAAATATTTGTTAGTCTCCTTAAGATCTGTTCAGTGATGACTCAGAAGATGATCTATGGATAATAATATTTGGTATTAAAAAGTAAATACCCTGGAAAGTTAATGAATTGACGAGTTGATAAGTAGTGTTTCTGGGAGCTACTCATCTGGAGTTGTTCGATAAACTGATTAATCGACATAGATTATAAAGATCCTGAACCTTCATTTCTTCCCTATCAGCTCAAGTCTTATTCTGAATAATTGATGATTCTGTCAGTTATTGAACTATTCCAATAGTGATTCTAAATTCCGATATCCTATCGGTATACTGAAGATTCATGTTTCTTTACCTGTTAAGATTATCCAGTACCTCTGAATAATATCTGTAAACTATGGTGTGTTCCCTAATCATATAAATATTTTATCTGATTTCCGACTTGAATTCTGTTCTGATACATTACCTGAATTTTGTTCTGATTTCTGATATGGATTCTGTTCTGATGTCTGATCTGAATTCTGTTTTGATTTCTGATATCTCTGGTTACCGACGGATAAATGTTTTATTTGGGGGGTTTATTGTTGGAGGAAGATTATCTGCAGGCTTCTCGGCTGTGTGCTCAGAGCCTCACTGGTTGTGCGGGGTGTATGGTTCCGGGGAACCTACACAAATAGATTGTGAAAGGATGGGGGTGTATATATATATATGTTTAAAAAAAACTATACTGGTTTTACGGGAACACACTAGAAAACCTATTCTGATCTCCTGAACTTAGTAAATGTTCAGAAACAATAAGGAAATATATATTTATCTGTATCTGCACGTTTATCAGCATCATCTGGTAGTTTTGTATTACTGAGCTTTTCGAAGCTCACTCTATTACTCACCATTTCAGGTTAAAAGATTGTACCAGTACAACTATCAAATCAGTAAGGGAGTTCATCCGACGTCGTTTGCAGAGTATGATACATGTGATTAGGGGGACATGTAATTGTATTTTGTTTTATATACGAGTCCAAAAATCTGTTTTATTTTTAAATAGTGACAAATGATTTTATAAGTTTACTTGTTCTGGTAAAAAGTTTTAAATTTTTCGTTATTTTTACAGTGGGTCGCTCCGGTGGCCCAAATGTGACACCTCGGATCGGATCTGGTTACCCTTATCGGTCTGTGGGGGTTACAAGTAGGGTATAAAATTGATGCAATTAAACAACTTTGAGGGCTAAATTGATGCACAAATACGATAGGGACAAAAATGATAAATTATGTCTACTACAGGGGTAAAAGTGACCCAAAAGCCTATTTTTTTATTAATAGAGTAAAAGATAGTATTTGTTCAAAAGATTCTCAATCATCTTACAATAAATGTTTAAACATCTTTGCACTCAAATCTAAGATTGAGCCCATAACAATATTTCATTAATCACTTAGGTAACTTAATTCGTATTGTGTAATATTTTAAATATATTTATAATATATAATAAATTATATCAATTAACTGAATTGATAGAATAAGGCACTAAATTTTTAAATAGAATCAAGAGTTCGAATCATAACATTATAAATGGAGAAAATTTTATTATGAGAGCTACCTTATAAAAAGTTTATGTAGTACTTAATATATAAATTAGATCTGAATTATTCAATCAAAATATATTGTTAAATAATGATGTTAATTTAATCATACGTTTAATCATTGATATCATGAACTTTTGGCTGTTTTAGTAACATTCTCAAAATCATCCAAAATTAGGGATAAAATTTAAATATTTCAAAATTTTGAGGATCAATATAAAAAAGATCATAATTTAATAGCAAATTTGAAATATTAGTAGTCAAGGGTACAATTTAAAATGAGATTATAATTTAAAGATAGAATTAAAATATTTAAAAATTAAGAGATTAATTTAAATGGTTAAGTACATAAATGATCCCCTAACTATGATATTACTCTATTAAATCTCTCGACTATTAAAAGTTATAAAATGATAATTCGACTATAGAATGTTGTTTTATTAAGTCATTGACTATTAAAAGTTACAAAATGGTTACCTAACTATTCATTATGTTTCAAACTCGTACTTTTTCGTTAAAAATTTGACGATTATCTAAGTTAGACGTTAACATGATGATTGGGACATGGTTGTTCTTTAAGATTTTGGATCATATCTTATCATATCACAATCAATATGTTAACATTCAGGTCAAAATACCTTCAATTTTTTAATGAAAAATGACGAGTTTGGAATATAATAAAAAGTTGAGTGACCATTTTGTAACTTTTAATAGTTGGAGGACTTAATAAAATAGTATTTTATAGTCGGGGGACTATTTGTGTACTTAACCCTAATTTAAAATATAAATCATAATTTAAATATTTATAATGTAACTAGTGTACGAAATTAAGTACTAAAACGGATCAAAATTGATAGTTTGAGTACAAAACGCGTAATTTAGCAAAATATTTATAATAAAATTTAGTAAAATATGATGGATTTAGAAAATTCATTTTTTTCACACATTCCATTTCCATAAACTTAAATTAAATATAGAAACCCCCTTTATTACAAGAATCATATTAATTATGTACACTTATCATTAAAGAGGTCAATTTAGTTCATTTATAAAGATTGATTTAAATTTATTTTTCTACGATCGATTTATAAAGAAGGATGGATTTGAACCAATTTCTATAAGGAAGAGATAAAATCGATCTATTTAACAGGAGAGACTAAATTGATGTAGTTCTTATAATAGAAGGACTTAAAACTAATTTTACCAAAAATAGTTCCCTTTAAGCCTTGGCTTGTTGTTTTGGATAATTGTTTAGGTAAACTACACATGTAGTACATAAACTATAAGTTTTGTTCAATTTTAATACCTAAACTTTTAATTTTTCAAATCATACATAATATTTAGTTTTTGTTTCATTTTAGTACCCAAACTTGACACGTTTTGCACCTAAACTATCATTTTTTTGATTTAAAGTTAAATTTTTAGTAGGGGTACTAAAATAAAATAAAAACTAAATTTTAAGTATGGTTTTGAAAAAAATGAAAGATTAGATACTTTTCTCCCAACGTGGTCCTCTAACTTAGAAAATAAACCTAATATGAGCCTTTGACCAACGTTTTTTCATTGTTGATCATTACGGTATTGGCATGACAGTTCATGATACTGACATGATGTTCACGGTGCTAATGTGGCGGTCCATCTACCATGTTTAAATTATCAATTTAGCTTATCTATCATGTCATACGCTACGTTATAAACCATCTAGAAATTAAAAAATAGGGGTCCAAAATTTAATATTATATTCTAAAAAAATTGGATATGCTAATTTCCTTATTTTTTTCCTACCTCCATTAACAAATTAAACTAAATTTAACACGTTTCTCAAAATAATAGGTGTGCAATGACTCCCTTACGGAGCCATGCACATCCACCCTTGCACCGTGGACTGTCACATTAACACAATGAACTTTCTTGTCAGCACCATAATATTTAACAATAAAAAACGTTGATAAAAAGACCATATTAAGTTTATTTTCTGAGTTAAAAAACACCACATTAAAAGAAAATATAATACTAATTTCACATTAATTCTTTAAAAAATACAAATACCTTTTCATGCATTTTTACCTTTTGTGAATTTTCAGGACAAATCATTTTCAAAAGCTGAAATTCAAGGCCATATCCATGGGTTTTTTTTCCATACGATAAAAAAAAATTATTTACCCTAGAAGGGTATGTTCACTTTTATTTTATAATCTACAGTAAATATTGCAAAATAATAGGAATTCATCACTTAATAAATTTTAATAAAATATAATTTTTATTATATTTTATCACATCAAAATATGAATTCTTTTATTCTGTAACATTTATCGTAATCCTTGAATAAACTTAAAAGTGTCATAATGTGTTAAATAATTATTTTCTTTTGTCTTATTGGCCCAAAAAACTCATATCCATGCTACCAGGTCAACATTTAGACGGGCAAAAACGATCCGATTTAAGGCCCGTTCAGTAATTTGTTCCGATTCATATATGTCGATATATATATAACAACGTTGCTAGGGTTTCAAGGGTTTCTCAGTGAAAAGAACAAATATCAGAGCAGCAGCCATGGTTCTCAAGTAAGCTCCATCAAATTTATTTATAAATCATGATTTGATGAATATATTGTTTGCTCCATTTGAAAAAATGGATCTACCTTCATTTTCATTTTCCTTTCCTTTATGTGAGTTGCCTTTTTCTTCTTGATTTTGTTGGGATGTATTTACATGTTAACCAATTTGTGTTGAAAGTTTGTCTTCGTAGTCTTCTCATTTTGAATCTGGTATCTGTGATGTTGGATTCGGCTAGTTTATTAAGTTAATAGCACTGAATTAACGAAAACGAGAGTCCAATGCATGCTGCAATCGATTAATTTCTTAATGAAATAGATCTTTGTCTGGTTTGGCTTGCTGAATAGTATACTATGTGCTGGTTTGGGTATGCTTATTGTTTTCCCTAAATTCTTCCTCTCACTTGGAGAGCCTTTGGATGATAATAATATCGAATCCTTGCCGGAAAATGTTCGGAAACTTGGGTGCATCAACAAAAATAGGAACGGAGCAACATAGATTGAAATGAAGATTTGGTTTAAATTACGTTTCTCTGTAATTACTGTTATTCGTTTATTGTGCCAAAATTTTGTATTTTGAATTTTCCAAACTTTGCTCTTATTATATTTATGGCGGCTTGTTAGGACGGAGCTTTGTCGGTTTAGCGGTGCCAAGATATACCCGGGGAAAGGCATCAGATTTGTTCGTTCTGATTCTCAGGTAAAGTTCCATCGGATTCTGCATTGAAGTGGTCAATATTATTTTATGACACTGGTTAACACAATGTGTTTTGCATCGATTTGTTTAGGTCTTCCTCTTTTCGAACTCGAAATGCAAGAGGTACTTCCACAACCGCCTGAAGCCATCGAAACTTACATGGACAGCCATGTATAGGAAGCAACATAAGAAGGTGAGCGTCATATTGGATTACTAGTAAAACCATGTTTCGGATTCTCGTCGTGTTTCTATCATATACCTTTAGAAGTTTTATTAAATTTGTAATAGAAGGTTGCTATTGGGTACTTGCATGTAGGACATTGCTCAAGAGGCTGTTAAGAAGAGGAGACGTACCACGAAGAAGCCTTACTCCAGATCCATCGTGGGTGCCACCTTAGAGGTTATCCAGAAGAAGAGGAGCGAGAAACCCGAAGTCCGCGATGCTGCTCGGGAAGCTGCACTCCGGTGTGTGTTGTTTTTCCATTTGACGTACAAATTTCATCTGTTCTTTCATATTCGCCGTTGCCATATTTCGACCTTTATTACCGTCTGTTGTGCAGAGAAATCAAGGAAAGGATCAAGAAAACTAAGGACGAAAAGAAAGCGAAGAAGGCCGAAGTAGCGGCGAAGCAACAGAAGACACAGGGCAAGGGTAATGTTCCGAAGGGTGGTGCACCAAAAGGTCCCAAGCTCGGCGGCGGTGGCGGAAAGCGTTGAAATGCTAGGCTATTAACTCTTTTTTCCCTGCCCCGAGAGATAAGTAGTATTCTCAAACGGACATTATATTGACATTATTGTATGGTATGAATTGTCATGTTGGCTATGTTTTTTCTCTTATGCTTATCGTGAACTCAGTGTTGAAGTCAAGTTATCAAGCGATTTTATGGATAATTATTTTTTATTAAAGTTTTCATTGTTCACTATAGTCTGTTTAACTTTGATTTTGAATATTTCTTTAATTAAAAAAAACATATCGACAACATGTTGAATATTTCATTTTTTGATACAATAAAACGAGAGTACGAGATTTTAGGGAGGTTTCATGCGAAATTTTATTTTTAGATAAAAATTAGCATTTAACTGAGTATAAATATAAAATTATTTATTATTATTGATAAAATAAGAATCTAATTTAATAATAGAAAGAATATTATATTATATCAATTATGTCTAAGTTCACAAAAGAAAACTGTATTATTATTTTGAATTGGTTAATTTTTTTATCTTAAACACGAATTTAATTTAGTTTTATCTTCTTACAAAATTTGATACTTTTAACCTGAATTTATATATATTTTAAAGCAAAAGTATTAAAGTTTCATGTAGTTTTGAAAAAAAATCAATATAGTGCTTGTATTATTTTTCTCTCTCAATGTAGCCCTCCAATTCAGAATACGAACTCAACGTGATTCTTTGACCAACGTTTTCTGTCGTTAATCGTTACGGTATTGACTTTGTAGTTCATAGTATTGACATAACGATTTATGGTACTGACGTGACAACGCATTTGTCGTATTTGAATTATCAATTTAATTTATCTGTTATGTCATTTGTCATGTTATCAATCATCATGGATTGTCATGTCAGTATCGTGGACGGTCAAATTAGTACAATGAATTGTCACGTCAATACCGTAACGATTAATGATAAAAAACGTTGGTTAAAAAAACATATTAAATTTATTTTTTAAGTTGGTGAGGGCCACATTAAAAATAATAATACAAGGATTATATTGATTTTTACGGAATCTCTGATATATTTTGACGTATTTTTTATATATAAAAAATTGTTTCTATTAGATCGAATTGAAAGACGTTAGATTTGGACAAATTATCATCGGTAAATTATGCAGAATTTATGAGTATTAGCCTTAAAAAAAAGCCCATATTGAACCCAAATTTGTCCATTATGGAATTTAACCGACGTCGACCCATACGTCACACGGGACCCACCCACCTGCGGATTCGTTACCTACTTTCCCTCGTTACTTGACGGAACCGTCACGGCCCATCATGTTCCGTCAAATCATCCCTCGACTCTCTCCGCAACGTTTCTTCCTCCATCCCCTAACGTCTTCCGTTCGACAACCGTTCCACTTAACCCTAACGTCCGCCTATGGCCTCTTCAGTTGAGAATATGAGTATTAGCCTTAAAAAAAAAAAGCCCATATTGAACCCGAATTTGTCAATTATCGAATTTAACCGACGTCGACCGGACCCACCCACCTGCGATTCGTTACCTACTTTCCATCGTTTACTTAACGGAACCGTCACGGCCCATCAAGTTCCGTCAAACCATCCCTCTACTCTCTCTCACGTTTCTCCCTCCATCCCCTAACGTCTTCCGTTCGACAACCGTTCCCTTAACCCTAACGTCCGCCTATGGCCTCTTCAGTTGACGACGAGTTCTCCCTCATCGACGACCACGAAACTAACCCCGGTCACCACTACCACCCTTCTTATGCGCCACCACCCGATAGTCACAACGCCGACGATGACTCCGCCCCGCTTTCCCGGCCAATTTCGGTAACACCGCCACCAACAGTAGTAACGGTACCCCGTCTGATGTGCGGATCGAGAAGAGGAGGGATCAGGAAGAGATAAACGACGGAGCTTTGAAGAGATCGAAGCAGTCGTCATCGGCGGAGTACCGGAAAGACAGAGAAGAATGGAGCGACGCCGCGATCGGATGTTTGCTGGAGGCTTATGGATAAGCTGCGCAGCTGACAGAGGGAATCTGAGAGGACGTGATTGGGAAGAGGTGGCGGCCGCGGTCAGCGTGCGATGCGAGAAGCAGAGCAAGAGTGTGAGCAGTGCAAGAACAAGGTTGATAATCTGAAGAAAAGGTATAAGCTTGAGAGGCACAGGATGAGTGATGGCGGCATCACGGCGAGTAATTGGCCTTGGTTTGTGAAAATGGAAGAAATTGTTGGAAATTCTCTGCCGGCAAGGCTGTAGCTGATGAAGAGGGTAGCGCTTCTCCTGGAACTGCCGTAGACAATCCAAAAGGTATATCTCGATGGCATTCCGCTTCTGATTATTATTTGCTGATGTTTCACTAGCTTCAAATGTAGCCATGGAATAGCTTGAAATGATTATGTGATATTCGAATTCGTTCCGCAAAAGTAAAGCTAACCTGAATGTATAATTAGGTTAATCATCTGCATAAGTAATGCGAATTCTGATAATGGATATCCAAAGTTTCAAATCCGCACTCTATTCTTAAATCTTTGCCTATACTTGTTTGCCAACAAATGCTAAACCATTATTAGATCCATTGTCATATGAATAATCCAAAAATGTGAGCAAACGTGCTCAGTTTCACTGTTTTATGAGTTCATTTGAAACAAATATATTCTCGATTGTTTCAGTTGAAATAGAGTCTGTTTGATTTTATTGTTCATTGCACAGAATTTGTATTCGAACTCTGAAGCGATCTATCTTTGATAGTTCTTGACTGTCTACAATGGTGTTGCTGCCCTAGTTTGTGATTAAAGTCGTGTTTAGTGTATTTTTTCTTTATACAACGATAGATGCTTTGCTTTTGTTTGATTGGCAGAAATGCTTTAGCTACACCGAGCCCTGTAGGACAGATTACCCTGAAACCCAAAAGCCCTAAATGGCGCAGAGTGGTATTCAAAATTAGCGTGCAGCTCTTGCTTGCAACTGGTCCTCTCAATATCGACCCAAAGGTGCCCATGAGTTTGCTATACAAAGTTTGAACTGGATAATTTTGTTGTCACCCGCATAAATGTTTTCTTTCTCATTATCAGTAGGAATGTTGATTGCTAGGGAAATTGCAATTGCATGCCGCCTTGGCGTAGAGGTATTCACTAATCATTACTTCCTTTATCTCTATGACTGCATATGTTTGCAATCTGTTAAGAGCGTTCCTTTTTGGTGATTTTCAGGTAGCAATCGTGTTGGAGGTCGCAATTTCTTTTGCGGAGACACAGGGTTACCACAACAGGTTTAGATAGAAGTACTGCATATCAATTGGGTAATGTGTTCACTGCTTGACTCATGATGGGGGATACTCTTTTTTATTCCATACCAAATTTGGCTTACTTTGAACTATAATAGAAGAGTATAAAACTTAAAACTTGGGTGAGGCTTGTAAGACTAAGCTTTCTGATATATAGTTGTCATTATATTGTATGTTGAAGCAACTGGTTGATAGTTTTATAGTTCTCGGGTCATGATCATAAGCCGATACTTTTTGGCTGTTTCGGGTGGTATATGTATATCTCTGATTGTAATTGCATATCGCTAGATTAAGGTGCAAGTATCAGACACGAGTTTGTCTCCCACGCGGGCTGCTTAATTTTTTCCAAGATTTTCCATGATGAATTCTATACTACTGCAATCATCGTTGAAGATGGGTATTCAGACCCGTGTGCAAACGGCATTTTTTGTGCAAGAAGTTGCAGAACCATACAGTCGGCAGCGTGCCATACGTCATCTTGAAAAAGGTAGAGTTGTAATTTTTGGTGGCATTGGTGCTGGCACTGGAAATCCACTCTTTTCTACTGACACAGCTGCAGCGCTTCGAGCTTCGGAAAGTATGACCGTCTCTCTTCCTGTTTTCTACAGTTCATCTCTTAAACTATATGACACATTTTTCTTTCTTTTCTCAACATTTGACGTGTCTACTGATTTCTCTTCAGTTCAAGCCGAGGCAGTTATTAAAGGAACGAATGTAGACGGTGTTTATGACTGCCATTCCAGGACAACAATGCTACATTTGAGCACATCTCATTTCGAGATCTAGTCTCGAGAGGCGCCACAGCTATGGACATGATGGCATTGACCTTCTGTGAAGAAATGGCATTCCTGGTTGGTATTCTTGCAGAAATCTTGCTTCATGTTTGTTTCCCATGTTCTGAACTTTGATGAACAGCGAAGATTATGTTTCTTTCTTCATCACCGGACATTGATCCCATACGAATTAAATCAATTTACTTTGGCACAGTTGCAGTTTTTAATCTTCTTCAGCCTGGAAACATCTCGAAAGCATTATGTGGAGATCAAGTTGGTACGTTGATCGATCAAACTGGAAGGATAAGCTGATCCGATTCATTTCCAGTTGCTGTGACCATTGCTATTAGGTCCGATATGGTTAATGCTACTGTAGTACCCGGTAGTTCAGCCGCCGTGCTCTATAACATCTGTCAGTGCTAACGGTGTGATTTTGCAGTCCATATTTTCCAACAACATCCGGAGGCCAGGTTTTTTAATTTTCCGCCTGCGATGCCAACTTTATCGAAATCTGTAATTTCGTATGGTGGCAATATTTATTGTACCTAAATGCATAAGAGGTAGTATCAACTTTACCCAAAGCTGATTACCGGTTTTACAAGAAGACAATGTGATACCCTGATAATACTCGTAGATTAGATTTAGGGGTAGGAAGTTGTCATAAGCAAGCTTACTATTGTATCCGAAATTTATAACAAATAAAGTGTTTTTTCTTCTATCAATTTACCTATTTATAGGAGGGGATCGGAGGGTTATTATTTTTGTTGTCCTCTCGGTTCTTAAGGTTTTCGTCTTGACTAATCTGAATCGATCAGGATCGCACTCTTATATTATGTAAATTTAATTCTAATTCAATAAAAAACTTTTTATATTTAAAAGTTTATTTAATATTTTTTCCCTATACAATCGAACCAAGTGTATACATAGGGTCAAGTGGTAGTTAGATAAATGCATTATAACATAGAACAACAAAATATATTTATAAAAAAAAATCATCAATGAATATTAACTAATTATATAAGTGAGAAATCTGTATTTGTATCTTTACATTGTACTGGTGTACAAAATTTATGATTAAAAGATAAGATTAATTAAACGACGGACAAAATCATCTCTTAGTGTTTCAAAAACACAAAACATGAAAGTGGATATCCTATAAATACAATGCTTTATTTATAAATCAACACTATATAATATATTGAGAGAATTTCCAAATAATGAGAAAGTAATATATTATTTTTGAACTTTTTAAGGAGAAAAAACAAGTTATTTTGAGAAAAAAAATAAGGATTAAATTGATAGAAATTTTAAATACGATAAGCTAAATTTATTGAATTATTTTAAATTATATAAATATATTTTAAAATTTAGAAGTTACAAAGTAGCATCCGTCGAAAATATTATCAATCATTTGATAATGGACGTTCAATCACCTTGCTCGAACTCGTGACCTCTATAAACAACAATGATTCTTTAACTACTAAGAAGATGTTCATGCTTAATTTTAACTTTGAAATAATATGCATGAAATCATATTTAATTAAATAATTAAAAATAATATTTAAAATATTGCATTCTATATCGAACTAATAATTAAATTACTTTAAAATATAATTTACAGTAAAACGAATGTACAATTACTTATATTCTATAATCTCTCGTTGAGTGACACGTCTCACAATCTGGTGATTTTGAAATTTATTTCTTTAAAATAATAGTATGATAAATATAAAAAACTATTTTTTCTTATATTATAATACAATCCCAAAATTCAAAATCCTAACTTTAGTCCGCGCTGGTGCCCTTTCCAGCCACAACCACCACTACCGATGTAGTCCATACCATCCTCCAAGTCTAGCCACTGTAGTTGTCTTCGATTGTCATCGAAATCGCTTGAGATCACGATTTTCATCTTAGGTTAGTGAGATAAAACATCAATTCACCGTCGATCACTATTGATCGTCATGATTTCATGGGGGTTTGGTCGCCAAGGAGAGATGAGGTCAGGTGGAGCTTCGTCGACGAAAGGATGGTTGGTGGCATAGGTTTAGGGGTTGAAGTGAAGTTTTTCAAAGTTTTGGTGTTATTCAAAAATTTTATGTTTTATCTTTAAAAAAAAATATAATTTATTTTTTAATTTTAAATAAATTTTTAAAATTACCGAGTTGTGAAACGTGTCACTTACGGGAGAAATTAATACCGTTAATGGCTCGAACACCTAAGTGGATAGCGTTTGTAAGATTAGACACCTGAATGAAATAAAAATTAGTTTAACCACCTATTTGAGAAAAATAATATACTTTTGGCACTTAGTTTGGTGTTAAGCCTATATTATTGCCTTTGGTGTTAAGCCTAGTTTAGTGCAATGTTTTTAAAATCGGATCGGACCTTAAACCGATGAAGGTATTGATTCATGGTTCAACTGGATTCAATCGCGATTCAATAGGATTTTATAAAATAATATTTTTTAATTTTACATAATATTTAAAATAATATTAATATATATATAACACTTTTTTAAATTTACAATATTAAATATATTAAAATAAAATCAATTTAAACAAAAATGATATAGCCAAACTTGTAAGCTCGCGCTGGTAATTCCCCTTTAATTAAAACCCATGCTTCGTCAATAGATCCCTTCGTTTCATTCTCTTTACACTTCTGAAGCTGGTCATTTCCCTTTAATTTACCAGTCTGTCCAAGAAGATGAGCGGCTCTGATTTGAATAATTTCGACGACCTTCCGTTTTTTGGTTATCGATCAAACCTTCAACATGGTAAGTGAAGAAGGCACAATGGCCAAGGAAAGTATGGCCTTTTGCAGGCAACCTTGTTCTTTCCTGCGTCTGTTTACACGTGTGTGTGTATATATATATATATGTATGTGTATGTGTATGTGTATGTGTATGTGTATGTGTATGTGCTTGTGTTTGTGCGCGTGTGCGTGCGGGGGCGGGCGCGTGTGTGTCAATAAGTACTACTGATTTCTTGTTTCATATCATCTTGTTAGTTTGTCTAATTGTTTGACAGAAATTTCAGTGTCCTTGACTTGCTTCTTTCTATTTTTGTGCTGCAAATGGGCAAAATCATTAGTGTTTTTGGCTGTTTTATACCCAATGATTTCCTCTAATCTAAGCTCAATTTCCCAGACCGGTCCATGACCAGCAGCCCTGACATTGACCCGCACAGCGACAACAACAATGTGTCTGCTTTGTCTGTAAACCAGTTTGTACAGTCACTTCGAGCACAAGAACTGCCTGATGAAAAACCAGGAAACCAGTTGATCCCGATGCCGAGTGGAGACAACATAAGAGACCACCATGGAGCGATGTTGTTGTCGAATGATTACCAGGTGAACTCGTTGAGCTCGATGCCGAGTGGGAGCAAGAAAAGTGGCCTGGAATTAGTTTCTGATGACTTATCAAATGCTAAAGGAAAAGGCAAAATGGAACAATCCCCGTGCCGGAGAACCATCGTTAACAGTGAATCATATATGCCGACGGTAAAAATTCCCACATTAATTAGAAGGGATTGGACTCTGTTTATAAAGCAAGGGTTATTTCTACCCTCACCTTTTCTTATTAGATACAACTGTGAGGACAGTTCTCCCTTCCAAAGGGAACAATACCTTGAAGTCTATCAACTAGTAATTGATATGATTGAACTATGGTCTTTGTAACCAAAGACCTAAACTTTTCTCATGAAGTGCCTTTTCTTGAAGGGAATAATACCTTCAATCCTTGCATGACACTGTCTGTATGTTTTAGGTGATGGCCGTGCTAGATGAATTATACCGCATCTTCAAAAGATGCCATTGACAGCTAGAGCCAAAAATTGGAGAGAGTTGTGAAAGCTATGATAGCTGAATTTGAAGGATGTAGGCTATATATAATGAAAATATCGAAAAATATCAACGGTAGCTTACCAGAAGTGGCAAAGGGGAGGTTGGTGAATGCACACAATTGGTTAGATGGCTTCCTACAAGTAAGCTACTGTTCATAGATCTAAAAGTTTGATTTCCATCTAAACCTCTAATTTAACTCTGGAACTTTGTTTTTCAGAGATTGGAAAACTCAAGGGAGGACGTTAAACAAATCTCCAAAGTACGCTAATGTTGACAAATCTGGTTATCATGTTAGAGTTCACGACCTAAATCTCTAATTTAACTTTTTAACTTGGCGTTTCAGGATCTGAAAAACACAAGGAACCTTGATGAAGTCTTCATTAAGAATATGGTATGCTGTTCCTTGTCATTGATATTAACAATACTATTATTCTTGAAAAAATATGAACATTTCTTGTTTATAAATCACATTAAAAGCATATCGGCTTCCCCCTGTTCTAGATCCATTTTAGAAAGTAATTTTCAGCTGTTACTTGAATTTGAGTGCAAGTGTTGAATATGGATTCATTCCTGAAGCATGTATGTTCAACCATTTCAAAAAAAATTCACATGTAGTCGTAGTCATATTTGATACTTATATCCAAATGTGTTTGTTAATTTGTTCTCCATTCATACCTTAAACTTTCCTTTTCTTGCGTCTTGATCATTTATTTTTTATCTCGTAAATTTCAGGATTACAGCCCAGAGGATCTAAGAGAAAAGGTACGATATATATATACATATACTATTAATAATTTTTGGTGTACATAGCACTAATATATCATTGTTTTGATGACATGTTTTCATGTTTGTTGCTGGCTTCTCTAATATCATTTGAAATCAAAGAACTTGATCAAAATTAAGATCATGGAAGCTTATCAACACCGGTTGATTTACGTTCTAAATTGCCAGGGATTTGGTTTCCATATTTGCTTCCCTCTGTGACTCTGTCTTATGTTTATGGTTTTTGATATCTGAACTCATACGTTTCTCTATCCTAATTGTGTAGTTTTCCGTATCTGGACTCTTTCATTTGTAATTTCTTTTCAGTACTCTTTTCCCCTTATAGGTTTAGAATAGAAGGGGTTTTTAATGAGGCCCTTTGTTTCAAAGAAAAACACCCCAAAGTAACTTGAATGTCACTCAATTCACTCGTGTTTGCACTCAAGGTTTTATGGCGTTTACATGTCCTCTTCTAATCTCACCACCTCTAGCCTTCGTGGTTTCTTCATCCTTTGATTTAGGAACGGTTTGAACTTTCTTCAAGGCTCTTTTTCATTTGCAATTGATCATGTTTCACTTCTTTGGGCGATAATGGTGCTAAGATAACCTTGCGTCCTTCTTGCTTGAATGTGTATTGGTTGGTATAGCAATGATGAATAGTTTCCCTATCATATTGTCTGGCCTCCTAAGTAGAATATGACTTGCGTGCGTAGGAACCACATCACATAGCACTTCATCCTTGTACCTTCTAATGGAACATGGGACTAGAACTTGTTTGGTCACGTTCAACTCGCCTCCTTCATTGAGTCATTATAATTTGTACGGAATTGGATGCTTCAAAGTTTCCAAACCCAACTTGTCCACCATGATGGCACTTTCACATTTGTGCAACTTCCACCTTCTATAATTATAAGCACATTTTACCATTGTATTTGTGATGGTTTGGGGAGAAGAGCGTGGAGATGCAGTAGAAATTGGGGGAAATGAAGGTCAAGGGTTAGGGATTAAGGCAGGAGAGGGGATTGATAAAGGGGAATTAGGGATTGAAGATCGAGAAAGGGAAATGATGAACTTACCTCTTGTAGCAGATCAACCCGTATATCCTATATTAGTTGAAATGGAGCAGCTTGAGTCTTCAGCCCAGAACAAAGAGAACAACCCAAGTCAGATAGCCCAAGTACCTGCAAAATGAATGAAGAGAATATTAGTCAGTTATATTTTGTTACAAGGACAACCAGCTGGCACCCTTTTCTATTTACGTTTTTAACCTTGTAACTAAATAAGATTGGATGAGATGTAATTGAATTCTCAGATTATGAATGAAGTATCTTTTCTATTCTCTAAAATTCTCTCTTTTTCTATTACCTCATTCCTACGTTCTTTTCTAAATCTCTCAAACTACAACAATTTGGTATTCAGAGCTACGATTCTGGCAAATTTTTGAGGGCATGACAAAGAAAAATCAATCTATGACAGAAACTGATTTAGCTGGGATTCAGAAACAGATTGAAGACCTTATTGCACTGATGAAACAAGGCTAAAATGAGACTAATCCACCTAAATGATGGGAGACTCAGGAAAACAGGATTACGGCACTGGAGGCAAGGATGACCACGAATCACGGTTATGTGGAAGATATATTGAAGATCTTAACTGGCAGAAATGGTGAACAAGAGCAGTCTACAGGGGATCAGGTATACACTCCTAAGTTCTAAAAATGGAGAGAAAAATCCTGTTTTGGTGACAGTGGTAAAAGGCAAATCCAGATTTACTTATAAACCAGATGAACCTGGGATATTAAAAGCTAAACCTGATGATTGTGTGGTCTTTAAAAATGGGAATCAGATAGGTGAGAATATGAATCTAGACATGTTTTGTTGGGGTCTGAAACAGAAAGAAAAGGTCCAGAAAATTCTTTCATCAGTTCAGGATCTATGTGGCATAGGCCTAAAATTGATTTGCCATTCTTTGAAGGGGTCAATCCTAGGGGTGGCTTCAAAAATGTCTTAAATATTTTTCTCTGTGTAATGTTCCTACAGAACAGAGGGTAGAAGTAGCCACTATGTACTTGACTGGGAAAGCAGAGGTTTGGTTTGATGGGTATATTATGCAGAAACACCATGTCACATGACATGAATTTAAAGCAGATCTTTGTCATAGATTTTGTGACAAGTCTTTTTCTGATATAGTAGAGGAATTTACTAAGCTGACTCAGAGGGGGACTGTTGAGGCTTACCAAGAAAATTTGAGGAGTTACAACCTTATATATTATTACAAAATCCTACACTAAATGAGGATTTCTTTGTGTCACTTTTTATCAGTGGACTCAGGGAGGATATTAAAAACAGGGTGAAGGCTTTAGATCCTAAAAATTTGCCTGAAGCATGCAAACAAGCTAAACTTTATGAGTTAGCTGTTGACATTGAAAATAGAAGATGGAGACCTTCTTTTAAAAACCCACCCTACCCAAACCCCAATACTAATTCTAAACCAGTTTCATTGCCAGTAATTACCAAGAGCACAACAGTTTCAAACCCTAAACAGAACCTTTTGGATTATAGGAGACAAAACAATCTTTGTTTCAAATGTGGGGAGAAGTTTCTGCCAAGGCATCAGTGTAAGACAAGGAATTTAAATATGATGATTGAAGAGTATTCTACTGTTCCTACTGACACTGCACCTATAGAACCAGATCAAATGATGCAGGAAGAAGAGAGTCTAGAAATCTCTATGAATGCTATTACTGGTTGCATTAGCCATAATACACTAAGGATTCAAGGAACAATTCAAGGTAAACCACTCAGTATTTTGATTGACAGTGGGAGTACTCACAGTTTCCTGACTCCACAGTGGGCTGATGCTGGTTTACATGTAAGTACACCTTATCCTTTGGTCATTACAGTAGCCAATGGACATCAACTTTATAGTTCAGCAAGGTGTAATAAGGTGGAGTGGCAAATGCAAGGGCATTCTTTTGTACATGATTTCAGACTGCTGAAACTAGGTGGTAGTGATATGGTATGGGGGTGGATTGGATGAAATTATTCAGTCCTATTTTAATGGATTTTAATCAGATGACATTGAGTTTTCAACATCAAGGGGAAAATATTACTATACAGGGACAACAACCATCTAATTTGTTACAACAAATTTCAGGGGCTACTTTATTAAAGATGACAACTTCAAACTCATCTATCTTGGGACATGTGGTTTTGTTGACTATGTCTGAAGAAACAAAACCTATTCCAGTAACTCTTCAACCTCTTTTAGAGAGGTATCAATCTATTTTTGCTGAGCCTACTGGTTTACCACCTCCAAGGACTCATGACCATGCTATTCCTCTAAAGCATGATTCTACTCCTATTAATTTGAGACCTTATAGATTTCCACACAATCAGAAGGAGGAAGTGGAAAAACAAATTGCTAGTATGCTTTCAAACTCTATTATTCAGCCTAGCTGGAGTCCATTTGCTTCTCCATGCCTTCTTATTAAAAAGAAGGATGGTACTTGGCGATTCTATGTGGATTACAGAAAATTAAATAGCATGATTATCAAGGATAAATTTCCTATACCTGTGGTTGAAGACCTATTAGATGAATTACATGGAGCAGTGTATTTCTCAAAGATTGATCTAAGGTCTGGGTATTGGCAAATCAGAATTAAGTATGAGGACATATACAAAACAACATTCAGAACTCATCAAGGCCATTATGAATTTAAGGTAATGCCTTTTGGGCTTACTAATACCCCTGCTACATTTCAAGCCTTAATGAATGAATTATTTAGTTCATTCCTTAGAAAATTTGTTTTGGTGTTTTTTGATGATATACTAGTCTATAGTACTTCTATGAATGATCATCTTACTCATTTACAACTGGTTTTAGAAGTACTGCAAAAGAATCAGCTCTTTGCCAAGCTGTCCAAATACTTCTTTGGACAGACTTAAGTTGAATACTTGGGTCATATTATTTCAGCTGCTGGAGTATTTAAGAAGGTAGAAGCCATGAGAAATTGGCCAGTCCCTAAATCATTAAAGTCTTTGCGTGGATTTATGGGATTAACAGGTTATTACAGAAGATTTATAAAGGATTATGGCTCATAAAGGATTATGGCTCAATCAGCAAGCCTCTAACTCAGATGCTTAAAAAAGACAGTTTTAAGTGGACTGATGCAGCTTTAATTGCTTTTGAAGAGTTGAAGAAGGTTATGTGTGTTGCTCCTGTTTTAGCCTTACCAGATTTTGGTAAGAGTTTTTATTTAGAGACAGATTCCAGTTCAGGGGGCATTGGTGCAGTCTTATCACAAGAGGGTAGGCCTATTGCCTATTTAAGTAAGGCTCTAAGTCCTAGACATGCAACACTCTCTATTTATGAAAGAGAGTATCTTGCTATACTTTTGGCAGTCTTTAAGTGGAGGCATTACTTAGAGAGTAAATCTTTTGTGATTAAAACAGATCATGAATCACTAAGATATCTATTGGAACAGAAACTGACTATTGCCATTCAAAAGAAAGGATTGACTAAGTTAATGGGGCTGGACTACAGTATTCAGTACAGGAAAGGCAAATCAAATATTGTTGTTGATTCCTTATCTAGGCAGTGGGAAGATCAAGGTCAGTTTCTTGCTATGGGTACTACACTAATCATTCCTAGTTGGGTTCAAGATGTGGAAGGAAGTTATAAGGAAGATTCTTTAGCTCTGCAATGGATTTTAGTATTATCTGTTAATCCTAATGCTGATATTAAGTGGAAGTATTCCAGAGGTATCCTTAGGTATAAGGATAGAGTTTATATTGGGACTGCTGGGTCTCTTAGATTACATATACTTCATCCACTACATGATTCACCTTATGGTGGTCATTCTGTAAGTCAGGCTACCTATCAAAGAATTAGGTCTTACTTTTATTGGCCTAGGTTGAAGGCCATGGTAGCTACTTATGTAAGAGCATGTATAGTCTGTCAACAGACTAAGGTGGAGCATGTGGCCAAACCTGGACTAT